CCGCGGCGCGCGTCAAGCTCAGCCCCAGCCCTAGCAAGGGCAGCCCCGGCGGCGGCGACGACGCAGGCCGCGCCGGCGGCGGCTCCCCCGCGCCGCTGCCCCTGGCGGCCCAGCCGCACGACGGCGTGAGCGCGGAGGAGGCGGCGGCGGCGGCGCGGCAGCACGTGGCCGCGCTGCTCGCGCGCTACTCGGGCCTGCGCTTCCGCGGCGACGGCTCGGGCTACAAGCTGCCCTGGGACGTGCGCCTGCGCATGCCGCCGCGTCCCGGCGAGAAGCGGGCCAACGTCGACATCTCTCGGGTCAAGACGGCGGAGGAGGTGGGTGCTGGGCGGAGACGGGTGGGGGCGCGGAGGGCCCGGCGAGCGCGTCTGACGGCGGCGCCACATGGCGGTAGCTGCCGCGGCAGCTGGCCGTGGAAGCCGCCGCCGCGCCGCGCCGCCGGCACGCGCGCGCTCGCCGCCGCCGCCAGCACTGCCCTGCGAGCCCTGCCGGCATGGGCGCGCTGCACGCACCCCGCCTGGCTCAAGCTGCCGCTGCTGCTCCCCTGTGTCGCAGGGCGCGGTTGCGTTTGACATTGGCACCGCCTGGCGCCAGCTGCACCCCACCGCGGGCGGCGGCGCGCCCCGCGAGGACGAATACAACTTCCCGGTGCAGAGGTGCGGCGCTGCTGCGGTACTGCTGCGGTGCAGCATACAGCCACAGCCTCCCTCGCGGCACGCACGCTGTGCCGGCGGGGCTGGCTTGGCTGGCTGCTGCGCGCGGTCGGGTGGGCGGCGAACCCAGGCGGGGCCGCTGGCTTGGGCTCTCCTGCTCCCCAGCCTGCTGGGGCTGCTTGCCCGCCGCTCTGCCTGCCTGCCGCGCGTCGGCGGCTGCGGCGACTGCCGTCTGCATTGTTTTGGCTGTGGCTGGCCCCCTGCGGCTGCCACGACTGGCGGGCTTGCCGCGGCGCCTTGCATCGCTGCGCGAGCTGCCTGGTGCTGCCGCCGACCGCTGTTTGCATTGTGGGCTGTGGCTGTTTTTGTGGCCCCCTGCGAGCTGCCTGGCCTGTCGCCGACCGGCGTCTGTTGTGTTGGCTGGCGCTGGCGTACCGCGCAGGTACAAGGACGACAAGGAGCTGTGGGGCAGGATCCGGGCCGCCCGCAGCCTGCCCCAGCTGCGCACCCTGCTGACCCACATGCGCGACACGTGCCAGCTGGAGCGCATCGCCGCCGCGCTGCTGGGCCAGGCGCCGCCGGCGCGGCCGCCGCCGCCGCGGCACACGCCGCCGCAGGAGCGCGAGCAGCAGAGCCCAGAGGTGGCGGTTGCGGCGGCGGCAGCCGCCGGCGGCGCCGGCGGGCGTGCGCCTGCCGGCAAGGCGGGGGCAGGGGCCAAGCGGCAGCTGGATGGGGGCAAGGCGGGGGCGGGCGCGGGCAGGGGGCCCAAGCGTGCCGCCCACGCGGCGCACCCGCCGGGACCCCTGCAGCACCACCACGTGCCGGCAGCCGGGATGCTGCCGCCGCAGCAGGCACAGCAGGCGCAGCAGGCGCTGCAGTGGGCCGTGCGGCAGGCGGGCGACGCCTCGGGGCCCAAGCTGGCTCGCCTGGAGGAGCTGCGCCAGCACCTGGAGAGGCTGGTGGCAGAGCCGCCTCCTGGCATGGCCCCCGCAGGCCAGCCTGCCAAGCCGCCGCACCCGCTGGCCGCCGCTGCGACGCCGGCGGCGAAGCAGCAGGTGGGCGTCGCAGCGGCGGCGGCGCCGCGCCAGTCGCCACCCTCGCCCAACGCCGCGCCCGCGCTGGCGGCGCTGGCGGCGCTGCTGGGGGCGGTGGGCGGGCCCAAGGCGCTGTCGCCGCCCAAGCAGCAGCTGTCGCCGCCGCAGTCAGCGGCGGCGGCGTCGCTGGCAGCCTTGGGCCAGGCGCTCGCCACGCTGGCGGGCCCGGCAGCCCCGGCCCAGCAGCAGCAGCAGGCGGCAGCGGCTGCGCCCCAGCCAGCCTGGCAGCAGCAGCAGGCGCCCCAGCAGCAGCAGCAGGCCTCCTGGCCACACCTCAAGGCCGCCGCAGGCTTTGCGCAGGCGGCGCCGGCGCCGGCGCCGGCCTGGCCTGCCGCCCCTTCCGCCGCCGCGCCGGCGGCGGGCGCCTGGGCGGCGCCGCCGCAGCGGCAGTCGCCGCCACAGCAGCAGTACCAGCAGCAGCACCAGCAGTACCAGCACGAGGGCCTGCTGCAGCTGCTGCTGCTGGCGGCGCAGCAGCCTGCCGCCGCCGCCGCCGGCCTGACCCCCGAGCTCGCCGCCGTCTACCTGCTGGCCCTGCAGCGCGTGCCGGAGCCGATGCAGCGGCAGCAGGTGCGTTGCCCCTGCCACGGCCCCGCAGCCGCGCATGCGTCGCAGCGGAAGCAGGCCTCGCTTGTGCTGCTGCCCCGCCACATGTGTGCTGCCTGCTGCACTTGGGCCCTGCCGTGCTGCTGGCCGCCGCCCCTGCTTGGCTGATGGCACCTGCGCTGGCCCACACATCTTGCCCCCACACGCCGCCCCTGCTGCCTGCAGGCCGGCATCATGGAGCTGCTGCTGCATGCGGAGCAGCACAGCAGCGCGGTCGCCATCGCCACCCACATGGTCAAGTCGGTACTGTAGGCCTGGGCTGGGCGGGAGGAGGCGGAGATGGGCAGAGGCGGCGGCGGACGGGCAGGCGAGTGATGGCCGCTGGATAAGCACACATCATGGCCTGGGCGACGCACGGTCGGATGCAAAGATGCCTGGACTCTCCCCTTGGAGGGATGCGGGGGTGGGCGGGCGGGGTGCCCGACTGTACTTCAACATCATTTTCTCTTCCTGGGGGCCACCAGGCCCCCGGGTGCACAGCACCACCTACCCTACCCTACCAACTTTCATGTCCTTTATTTTTTTCTGCCCGCACAGCAGCCTCATTTTTTTCCCGCGCGCAGCAGCCCCTTGCGGGCCGGTGCTGAGTGCTGCGCAGGCGCGCACCCTTCCTCCCATGGACTCTCCCCCTTCCTCTCCTTTAGCTTGGGGTGCTGCTGGCCTTTCACTTCATCCGAGGTACCAATACCAGACTAGTCGCTCAGCAGTTCTGGACGCACAGCAGTTCTAGACGCACAGACTCTCAAGAAAGGGACAGAAATAACTCACGCAGGGCGCTCTCTCCCTGCTCTGTAAAGCAAATAAAAGGGGCAGTTTGCTCTGGAAGTAACGGAGGGCAAGGGCGTTGGGGAGGACAGCAATCGAGGAGGAATATCCATACAGACGGACGGCAGTGCTGGCAAACAAGGGCAAGAAGGGCAACCGATGATAAATGGGGCGCGGAAGCCGTCGCCTGGCCCAACAAGAGAGCTACTTCACTCGCAGCGGGCAGCTGGCGACGCTGGGGCGGCAGCGGCGGCGCTGGGTGGCACAGCGGGCGGGGAGCCGGGTGGCGACGCGGCGGCCGACGAGCCCGGCGCCCTGCCGGCCAACTCCGAGCGCACCGAGGTGTTGGCTGCCCCCGAGCGCACCGACACGTCTCGGGAGGCGCTGAGGGCGGCGCTGATGCGCTCCTCAAGGGACTTGCGCCTCCTGAGCCTGCGGGCAGGCAAGGATGCCGCAGGGGCGGGTGAGCCCGAGGAGGGGCAGGCGCCAGGGCAGGCGGCGCGGCGGCGAAGCAAGCATGTAGGTGCCGTGGGTCACTGGCGGGGCAGCAGACAGCGCACCGCCATGTGAAGGAGCCGGAGCCTTGCAGGCGCGAGTGGGCGCGCTGCAGCGGCGTGTCTGGGGTGGGCTGCGTCATCCAGGGGTGCTCCAGCACCTGCACAGGGGGAAGGGCAACGGGCAGGAATGCTAAACTTGTGAAGACCATTCTTGAAAGGCCCTGCAGCATTGAGCCCCTTCACATGCCGGGGCGAAGAAGCTCAGTCGCATCAGGCAGCCCTACAGGACACGCATCATTGCCCCCCACCTGCTGGCAGGTCAGCCTGCTGGCTGGGTCCACCACCAGCAGCTTGCTGACCAGGTCCTTGGCCTCGCCGGAGACCTGCAGCCACAGGGGAGGGCAGGGGTGGTAACCGGCAGGGCAGGGCAGCAGTTGGATGCTGCCCAGGGGAGCAGTGCCTTCCCAACCCGGGCAAGGCGGGCCTGGGCCCACGCTCCACATGCATGCACAGGCCCCAAGCGCCAGGCAGCCTGCTGCCTCCACTCTCCCCCCTCACCTCCTCCCACACAGGGTCGTCCAGGCTGTACTTGCCGGCCATGATGGAGCGCAGCAGGCGCGGCTCGCTCTTGTCGCTGAATGGCGGCATTCCTGACAGCAGGGCAAACAGCACGACGCCTGCGAAATGGGAGGAGGCATGGAGGCGGGGGCGTTGATGCCAGGGCGAGCACGCAAGGGGCCAGGCATGTCGTGGCGGGGGCTGTGGAGAGAGTATGTGTGCAGCCAGTTGTGGGCTGTGGCACGACTGAGGCCTGACCGCGCAGGCCCAGCGCTTGCCTGCCGACCACAAATCGCAGGGAGGGCCGTAGAACATCTTGCGGCTGGGCGCCCCAAACGTGGGCTGCGTGGCGTTGCGGACGATCTCAGGCGCAATGTAGCCTGCGCAGCGGATGGAGCGGCATGGCAGCGCATCGCAGCGCATCGTGCCACGCCGACCCGAATCGGCCCAGGTCACACTGCTTGTGCTGATGCGCTGCAGGCAGGTGCAGCAGACCACGTGCAGGCCACCTGTCCAACACGCCACCTGTCAAATGCACCGGAAGGAAACGGCTGGGTCCCACACCTGGCGTGCCGCACACCGTCCTCAGCGTGTTGCTCCAGCGCTTGGACACCTTCCTCGCAAACCTGCATGCAGCTACGGATCCGGTTGAGCAGGCAGCGCAGGGACAGCCCAAGGTGGCAGCCAAACACGGCTGCTCATCCAAATGCCAGGCTGGAACCGCAGGCTAGAACCAGCAGCAGCAGCAGCAGCAGCAGCAGCGCCGCACCCAAAGTCTGCCAGCTTGATGCGGGTGATGTCCCCCGGGGCCACCAGCAGCAGGTTCTTGAGCTTCACATCACGGTGCACCACCCCCCTGCAGCCAGCAGCAGCAGCAGCAGCCCCGTGAAGCAGGCCATCTCATGAGGGGGCTCTGATCGCAGGCACGGCGACCCTGGCAGCAAGCAGCCAGCTGTCGCGGGCAGCTGCCCTCCACACGAGGCCGGGCCAGGCCCTCAAGGGCTCACTTGGAGTGCAGGTACTGGAGCGCCTCGATGAGCTGGCGGAAGATGGTGCGCGCATCGCCCTCGCTGTAGTGGCCCTGGAAGACGCAGCAAAAGAAAGCTCCAACTATGGTCGCGCATGCAGGGTGCAGTAGGTGCGCAGGTGCAGGGCTGTGTGGCCTCTCTCCTCCCCGCACCCATCTCTGCCCGTTCCCCGAACCCCACACGCCAGAACTGCGTGTGCAGGCCCGCCGGCGGGGGCCACACCTGCGCCTGCAGCGCATCCAGCAGCTCCCCGCCCCGCATCAGCTCCATGATGAGGTACACCCTGTGGTGCTGCACAAAGTACTCCCTCATCCCCACCACGTTGGGATGGTCCAGGTCCAGCAAGACATCAACCTCCTGCAGCAAGCACAGGAAAGCCCGATGGCGGGCCGGCCAAACCAGACGCTCGGCCGTAGGGACTGGTTGCCAAAGGCAAAGGAAGCACGCGCGGCCCAGCAGTGATGGTGCGACGCGTGCGCTTGACGGCTGGCTGCGCTGCGCTCACCTTCATGATGGCGGCGCGGCCGGCCATCGGGTCCTCGACCAGCTTGTCCCCACGAGGCAGCCGCATGATCTTGCACGCCCACTGCTGGCCCAGCAGCAGGTCTGTGGCCAGCCGCACCTTGGAGGGGCTGCGGGGCAGGAACCACACGCACCCG